CTGGGCGGGAGGGGTGGGGGAGGTACGGCGGAGTGGTGGGGGGCAGCCCGAGGTGGTGGGAGAGGGTCCGGCCCACGCTTTGCCTGGGCTGGGACTGGTCCCGCTGGCGCAGGTTAACAGGAAGCTCTCCACACACTCCGAACATAGAGGTTTAAGCCCCCTTATTTCTAGAAAAACACGGGTTGAACCTACTGCAAAGAACTCAAAATTCTGCATGTTACTCTTATACTATATTCTATTAGTAAGGTCATCTAAATAAGCTATCATACCCATACTCCAAAAATATTGGTTAATATCCTTCCTATACTAATTAACATCATTATGATAACAGTCACACCATGTTAACTATAGACGCACTGATTACTTACTCAGCTCCCATTGACTATTAATATGAATGGTCTAATAACAAGTATACTATCTATCACATCTATTCTGACAAGTAAGGATAATCCTTGATCAACAGAAGCCACAACAATATATTTCTAATACAAGCAACTACATCAATAATCTTATTAATATCTACTATATTCACAATGATATATTTAGGCCAATGAGCAATTTTTATACTAATAAACTATTTTATTTATCCTAACCTTGTGTTTAATTATAAAATTAGGCACAGCTCCCTTCCACTTCTGAATACCAGAAGTAACACAGGGAATTCCTTTATTATCAGGAATAATTCTCACCTGAAAAAATTGCACCATTATCCATTCTATTTCAGATTTTTCCAACAATTAACCAAACTTTCATTCTCATCTCAGCAATCCTATCAACATTACCAGGTGGATGAGGAGGATTAAACCAAACACATTAGGTTTACAGTCTAATGCTTATGTTCAGCCTTCTTACCTCCTTTATCTATGTTAGTTAACTGTTGACTCTTTTCCACAAATCACAAAGATATCATTACAGTATATCTCTTATTTGGTGCATGAACTGGAATTGTAGGAACTGCACTTAGCCTACTAATTTGAGCACAACTAGGGCAACCAGGGGCATTACTGGGAGATAATCAAATTTGCATGTCACCATTACTGCCACACATTTGTTATAATTTTTTTTATAGTTATACCAATCATAATAAGTATATCCAGAGCAATGTCCAAGGGCCAGCACATGGCAGATGTCTCTTTACAGGCCTGTTGAATGAGTAAACACATGAAGAACATAAAACCAGAATGAAACAAGCTGAATCAGGGGTCCACAGATGGCTTTTGAGAAAGACTGAGATATACTGAATTGAAGAACGAGGCATGTTATGGAGCAGGAGCCTTTTAGTGTAGGCCTGAAAGAATGAGTTTTCTACAGCTGAGAGAGAGAGAGGAGGAAGTGTACTCAACTGAACACAGAGTAGGAGTAAAGATATAGAGCCAGAGAAATGTAGAACAAATGAAGAGGACCAATCACAAGTGTGTTCCTGGTGCCCAGGGCCAGGGTAGGCCAGGACTAGACTAGGTAGATCTGGCAAAGACTTGTATGACATAGAGGGAGTTTGGGTTTTGTGGCATAGGCATAGGGTTCAGCACAATATTTTAGTTGTGCATATGGAATTTTGGGGACAGGAATTGGCTTACTAGGGCTGGCTGTAAAAATCAGTTCTGGTTTGTGACAAGTGAGGCCATAGGGAAGGCCAAGAGCAGTGCTCTATATGGGTAGGCAGTGCCTCCTGTGGTGTCAACTCTAAGTCCAGAAATATCACTGTGGACAGAGGACACCACCTGTGTATCTGTTTGAAACAGTCTCTGAGGGCTCCTCCCTGACACAGAACAGTGCAAAGCTTAGCAGTTTGCTCAGGTGCATCCCAGCAGGCCAGTGCTCATGTCTAGCTGCACTGTGACTTCATTACACTGCTCATCCAACCCAACTACCTTATGTAAAATATGTCAGCCATGAAATTTATTGTCATCACCTCTTCTATGCTGGAGAAGGCTGGTGGAGAGTGAAGAAGTGCCCTGCTCTACCCCACATGGCCTAGAGTTCTACTTCAGCCTTGTTTGGAAGCCAGGGATGGGTCACAGGACTTTAGGAGACTCACACCTCCACATGCAAGGAGAACGCACAGGGGGCCAACTGAGAGATCTGCCATTGGCCCATTCTGTTCTAGATATGCGGCTGTCCAGGGTTCTGGGTGGGGGATGACCTGTAGGAGTGCCTTTGTATATGGGAATGACTTGTCAAGTTGGGAGCTGTCAGCCATTCATTGGAAGAGTGAACTTTTCCCTGGGCTGGAGTCCTGACTCTGCACTTCTGCAGCTGTTCCTGCTGTTTTGATTTGTGTCTGGATGTCCCCACAAAACCTCAGGTGGTCTTGGGAGGTTAGCTTGTTAGAGATCACTGAATCTATTTCTTGTGATTGATTCATGATCCAGTGCTGGGTGTGAGTGCCACACTTGCCCTAAGGGGGGGTAGTTTGTTTATCATCTCCTTCTCTTTCCTTGGTTACTTTTGTTGTCTTCTATGCCAGGAGCAGTTTCCTATCTGCATTGTGCCACCCTGCCTTAGAGCCAGCTGATTATGGACTAAAACTTTCACAAACTGTGAGCTAAATAACCACCCTCCTTTTCTTCATTCTTTCTTTCTGTACCACTTCAAGCTGTGCCACTTCAGAGGAGCTTGATCTCTGCAGCCATGCCACTTTGGAAGAGTCCTAATCTTTGTGGTGAAGCATCAGTCTTCATAGTCAGCACAAAGGGAAGAGGGAGAGTCTTGATGGATTCCACAGCTGCTGCTCCTCCTTTGCTCTTTGTTGATTTCTGCCAGCATGAAATGCTGTTTGCCTTAGTGCCAGCAGAGTACAGACTAAAATCTCCACTAACTGTGAGCTAAATAAACTTTTCCTTCCTTCATTTTAGGTGTTGGTATTTTGTTCCAGCAATGAGTAAAAAGTAACTTAGACAGAATTTGGTATCAGGAGTGGGATCATTGCTGTGATTATACCTGACAATGTGGATTATAAGCTTTTGGAAAAGGCTTATGGGAAGAGATAGGAAAGGTTTGGAAAGGTCACCTACTAGTGAAGAGCTAGAATGTGTTCAGCTCTTCTGTATGGGAGATTCTGGTCAGAGCTCAGAAGACAAAAAGACTGATAAAAAGCCTGACTATAAAGACTAGGCTGGGGAGGTTTCTGCTGGGAAGAACAGCATTGGTTGTTAGACTGTGGATGATTTGTGTTATGGCTTGCAGAAAGTTTGCCTGTATTTTGCTCTTGTCCAGAGACTGCCTGAGACTGAGATTCAGCGCTGTGGATTAGTTAATTTTGAAAAAGAAATATCAAGGAGTTGAATGTTGAGGCAGTAGCATGGCTATTGCTGGGGGCTTTTAGTCAGATAAATGTTGAGAGTCAAGAGCAGAGCCCACCAGGATGATTTAAAATGTTGTGAGTTTGGCCAGAAAGGGAGCACTGGGATGGCCGTAGACTGCAAAGATAGAGCTGAGATCTTCACTGCCCAGAATAAACAGGGGAATCACAAGAGGTAGCAGGTTCTCACCCTTTGCAGCTTCAGAATCACAAGAGTGAGGGACTTGGCTTTGAGGAGAAAGCCACAGAGCCCCATGTTCCAAAATGGAGGCAGCAACCACACCAGGTTCCAAAATAAAAGAGGCAGCCTTAGGGCCAGCCAGATAGTTCAATGGATTAAAGTGCCTGCTTAGGCAGATGCAGTGACTGGGGGTTTGATCCCTGGTGTGCCATGCTCGTCCTGCCTCCGGGCATGCTGAGGCAGTGAATGAGACTAGGTGTGGTGGTGCATACCTGTAACCCTAGCTCTTGGGAGACTGAAAACAGGAGGATCACTATGAGTCCAATCTGTGTAGTGAGACCCTGTAGACTCTCTACTAAAATACATAATTTTTTTTAAAGAGGCAGCCACACCAGATTCCAGAATGACACCAGCATAAAAAATTTGTTCCTCAAAATCAGGGTCACAGTGCTCAAAAATCCAGGCACTCAGTCCCTACAGCCAAGAGAGTAAAAAGCCTGGCTATTGCTCTAGTTGGCAGCAGCCCTTGGCATCATCCACATGGCATTGGTTTTAGGCACATACAAAATGCAAGAGTTCTGGGGTTAAAAAGGCTTCCATCTGGATTTCAAAAGGCCTAGGAGGCCAGGAAATGTGCCCCTCAGAGGGCAGTATGTAAAACTGTGAGTGAAAAGTCTATTCAATGGAAACTTCAGAAGTTTAAAAAAAGCCAGAAACGTGCATTGTCCAAGGAGAGCTGCAAAGAGATACCAAAGCCATTCCCCTAAGAAAAGCCATGGGAGCTACCAGCAGAAGTGCTATAGGGATGGAGCCATGTAAGGCTTTTGGAGGTCACAAGTCATGACAGGTTGCTTTGGATGTTTCACAGGGAACTACAGGACTTAATGTTTGCCCTTCTGGATTTTATACTTGCCTTGGTCCCAACTTTGTATCCTCCTGTATATACCTTTGGATTTTTTTTTTTGGAACCAGGGATTGAAATCAGGCCCTTGTGCTTTCCAGGTAAGTACTTATTCTATTGAGCCATCTCCCCAGTCTCTTGTATATACCTTTTGAAATAGTAATGTTTATTTTATGCCTTTGAATGTTAAAGGTGTTTAACTTTTCATTTGTTTAAGGGGCTGAGGTATAGCTCAGTGACCCAAGCACCTGCCTGGAAAGCACAAGGTCCTGAGTTTGATTCCCAGTACCAAAAAACCAAAGAAAACATTTGTTTAGGGGTTCACAGCTAAGAGTTTGCCTTAGATCTTGGGACTTGGACTCTTCAACAGTGCTAAAACTGTTAGGACTTTGAGAATTTTTACAGATAGACTAAAGTGCCTTTTACATAAAGGGATGTGCATGAGTCTTTGGTAGGCCAGGGGCAAATATTATGCTTCCCATGTAATATAATGTTAATAGACTTAATAGTGATTCTTAAGGGCTACAAAAGCTGTGTTATAATGTCCAAGTTGTAAAATGTTAAAAAGCATGTCTTAGTATCTGGAGACTGGTTTTAAGAAGTATATGTATAGTTTCCAAGTTGACAAGGGGTGGATTGTGGTGGTAGATAACATCATAACATCTTGAGACATGACAACTTGGCTGTATCTGCTTGGCTGGATCCACTTGTTGCTTCTATGCTCTGGGGAATGGGGGCCCCACCCTAGGGTGGAGAAGACCTGCCCCAGAGTGACTCAGCACACAAAGGGCAAAAAAGGAGTTGAGGGAGGCTTCTGCACCACCACTTCCTGGGAGAATTTCTGATCTTTGCTGTACCACTTCAAGCCGTGCCACTCCAGAGGAGCTTGATTTCAGCAGCCACACCACTTCAGAGGAGCTCTGATCTTTGTGGTGGAGCACCAGTCTTTGCAGTCAGTATAAAAAGACAAGAGAGAGTCTTGATAGACGCCACAGCTATTGCTCCTCCTCTGCTCTTTGTTTTCTCCCTCTATGAACTGCTGCTGTTTGCCTTGGAGCCAGTGGAGTATAGACTAAAATCTCCACTAACTGTGAGCCAAATAAACCTTTCCTTCCTTCATTTTGAGGGTTGTTATTTTGTCCTAGCAATGAGTAAAAAGTAACTGAGACAATTATCAAACTTTCAGGGATTAAATAAGAAACCACAACTGAAATAATGGAAGGAGAATGTTGTAACTGTAGTGCCCAGTTTCTTTTTACCTGAATTCAGAGAAGGAAAATCAGAGTCCTTTTTGATATCATTTACTAAAATGACATGGTGACAGGGAGTGGGACTTTGTGAGGCTCCCAGATACAGAATGCTCTGGGAGGAGCAGAGATGCATCTGAAATGATGTCCTCAGACACATCAAGGTCAAGAATCATGCCCTCTCCCTTTACAGGTGATGACAGACAGTCCCTCCTACCTCCTTCCCTTGGCAGGTTTCCTACTGACGTAGCCTCAGATGAGCTTACCTGGCTTTTCTCATTTGTTCCTTCCAGGCCCACCAATAGAAACTGCATTATTTATTCACACTATGAAAATTAGCTACAAGGGCTCCAGAATGGGAATGGCTAGCACGGGAATCTGACTATACTCCAGAGCCAGAGAAAAGAGCAGTTTTGGTCTCCACTCTCTTATAAGGTTTAATGGGTAATAGTGTGTGATGGCTTATCCTGATTGTCAATTTCTTTGGACTTAGAGAGGTGATTGCATTGTGAGAATGATGAGCTCATCAAGGATTAAACCCCTCATAAGTTTATGGACAAAAAGGCTATTAGGAAGAGGGGCCTCCTTGGGAAATGGGTCCCTAAGGCTATCATTGTGAAGGGTAGTTTAGTTATTTTCTCATTACTTAGACAATACCAGACACCCACAACTTCACGGAAGAGAGGTTGATTTTGGCTCAGAACTTCAGAATTTGCAGTCCATGGTTGGCAGGCTCACATGCAGAAGCAGCGGGTGAAGGGGCCTGCCACAGGGTAAAACTGCTCACATGGTGTTATCAGGAAGCAGAGACAGAGGGGAGAAGCCAGGGAGGGAGGTGCATCCTTGCCAGTCACCGCCTCAGTGAACTTCCTCTTCCACCCAGGCCCCACCTCCTACAGCCTAGACAGCTCTGAACTTGTGGATGATCCACAGATATGCATAGTACCACATGATCCAATCAGCTCCTCCACACATGAAAGACAGTTTAGATCCAAGCTTAGCAGCAGGTATATATTTTTTCTCCTCTCTCTCTCTCTCTCTCTCTCTCTCTCTCTCTCTCTCTCTCTCTTTGTATTTTCTGGAAGGGTCTACAGGGTGTTCAGGGTCTCACTACTAGATGGTACTCCTAGCAGTCCACTTGTTTACAGCCTCCCGAGAGCTGAGCTTACAGGCATGTGCCACCACTCCCAGTCTTAATTGCTGTCTCAGTGTGCCCCAAGGGTGGGGCTGGCATGGCAGGCCCAGGGATTGAACCCCTGGCTCCTGTGCCTGCTTGCAGGTGCTTAATCCACTGTGCCAGCCCTTCTCTCCTCTTTTGAACTCTCTCTGATTCCTGGCTGCTGTGAGGTGAGCTGCTTTCCTCCACCATGCCCTTCTGCCATGTTGTTCTGCAGGCCTAAAGAAATAAAGCCAGCTGACCAATGGACCGAAGCCTCCAGAATGATGAACCAAAAGAAATCTGCATATTTTTTACAATGGTAAAAAGCTACAGTCCTTAAAATTGCTATTTTAGAATATCTGATGATATAAGACCATATTTACAATTTTTAAAACTTATGAAACATCAGGAAGTGTCTTATGTAGAGTACTATAGCAAGTGCCTCCATGTCCTCCAGCCAGATTTAATAAGTGTTGACATTTTGCCATGTTTACTTAAGACCATTTTAAGAAATAAAAAATTCCAGGTACAGCTGAAGCGTCTTTCGCACATCTTCTTTCCCTATGTCCAAAGAGATAATTGTTTTTCTGAAGCTTTCATCAATCCTCCCTGTTTGGAAGTTACAGTTTACCACAAATATATGTATCTTCATGTAAACACCCAGTATTTTTTATATTTTTCAAACTTTCTGCAATATTGGATGAAAATTTTATGTTTTCATCCAAGTTTAAAGATTTATCCATTTTGGTATATGTAGATTTTTTTTGTTACATTACACCCAAATTATATAAACAATTATAACAACTTAATGAGCAATCTCTAAGTGTATAAATCAATCAAATTACCACCCAGGAATTACCAAGAAATAGAATATTAACATTATTTGTACTCCAAAAACTTTCTTTCAGGCCAATTTCCTGATTCCCAGAAGTTGTGCTTTGTATGCCTCCTCGGATGTGATTCCTAGGAACATTATTCTGAATGGGTTTGAATGTTACATAAAGGAAATCATGTGGTACTCTCTATTTATTAATCAGTTCATTTCTTATCTTTCTTGGTTCACCTTCATTACTAATTTTATCAGATCTGTTATTAGCCATTGAGAGGTGCATTGCACTTCCCCATTGTAAGTGTGGAATTGTTTTTGTCCCCTTATAATTCTGTCACAGTTGTTGCTTTAAGTATTTAGAAACTAGGTGACTGTATTCGTACAGATTTAGTCGTGTGATAGCTTTCTGCTAGACTGATCATTTTCAAGTTTATAAAACAGCTTTCTATCTTCAGTCATGTTTTTGCCTAAAAGTCCAGGATCTCTGTTATTTGTATACCCACACCAGTTTCCATTTGGTTAGTCTTTGGATATTTTTCCCACTCTGATTTTTATCTTTCCGAATCCTTACATGAAAAGGGTGCCTCTTGTGAGCAGGATATAGTTGGATCTTCAAAATCAGTTTAAAAAAAACAACAACTAAAATCAGTTTCTATAGCTTAATGCTTACATTTAATGTATATTTAGTATTTAACCCATTTGCAAGTATTGCAATTATTGTGACATTTATATCACCATGTGCTTGTTTTACCACAATTCATTTTGTCACAATAAAACTTTTTTTCTTTTTATTTATTGGATACAGGGTCTCACTATGCAGTTTGGACTCGTAGTGATCATCCTGTCTCAGCCTCCCAAGTACTGGGATTGTAGGTGTGCACCCCCTCACCTGGTTTCATTGGCTAACATGGCATGCGGTACCAGGAATTGAACTCCGGTCTTTGTGCTTGCCAGGTAGGCACTTAGACCACTGAGCAATATCTCCAGCCCTGTTTTATCACAATTTATATCACAATTATTTGTTTTGTATTTCTTTTCATACCACCAATATGTGTAAACAAATGTTTTGATTCTGGATTTCTGCCTATACTAACTTTTGTGAAGTGTATCCTTTCTGGTTTTTTTTTTTTTTTAGTGATTGTTCTAGAAAATGTGTATCCCTGGCCAACTGCAGCCTCGTACAAACTTTTACTTTTACCACCTCCCTAATGACATTAGTTTTTTTTTTAAAAAATGTATTTAATACAGAGTCTACCTTGTCTCACTACACAAATTGGGCTCAGAGCGATCCTCCTGTTTTCAGCCTCCCAAGCACTGGGATTACAGGTGCGCGCCACCACGCCCAGTCTCAGCTGCCATCTCATTGCACCCCGGGACCAGGGCCGGCACGGCACACCTGGCATCCAACCGTAGTCCCTGCATCTGCCTAAGCAGGTGCTTCAATCCACTGAGCTATCTGGCTGGCCAACATTAGGTTTTAAACTTCATTTTTTGTTTCTCAAACTTACTTGTTATCTCTATGTACTTTAATTTTTAATTATTAGGTTTATTGGTGCCATTTAGATATGCGTAATAGTCACATTCATCACAGAGAATTTGTACCTGTATGTGATACAACTTGATTCCTCTTTTCTTCAACCCTTGCTCTCTTTAACTCCTCTTCCCTCCTTATTTACTAAGCTTTGTTTCCATTTTACCCTTCTTTACTCATTTTTTTCTTTTCCCTTCCTTCCCCATCTCCCCTCCCTAGTTACTCTTTTCTTCTGAGCAATTATTTTCCTCTTTTACAATATCTAGTATACATTTTAGTTTTTAAACTTTCAGTTTCTTAAACTAGAAACCTACTGCAAAATTTACACATTTTTATTTATTTCACTTAAAGAATATGGTCTCAAGGTCCATTCATTTATCTATGAATGTCTCAAGCATATCCTTTTTAATTTTATTTTATTGAGAAACAAATATCAGTGAGACAGTTTCAAAACTGATTAATAGGACAGTTTCAATAATTAATACATTGTACATTGTTATCTTCTTAGTGGTTATCCATAGTACAAGATGCAGACAGGATATCCTGTCCAAACACTATTAGTATAAATCTTTCTTCTCATTGAATTAAGCGAAAGTAGCTGTATAGCTATCCTAACTATTCTGCATATACAGATATAAAATGGTCCTTTCTTTGTATCACCTTTTTTTGTTTAGCCCTGTCAGAGATGGCTATTCCATTGGCATCTCAATACTATAGGTGTGTGAATTCAGCAAAACAATCCAACACAGTCCAGCAGTCCACGGAAGTAATGGGTTGCCCACAGAAGTTGTTGACTTGAGCCTTTCACAGCTCAGCGTATTAATATGGCTTTACTTTATATACCTTGTTTTTATACTTTTATGCTGGATGGTTAAGGCCAAGATAAAGCAAGACCTATATAACAAGAAACGTAACTTTTGTATCTGATAAGGTCAGTCAAGTCCCCTCAGAGTTTATCCTGTAACCCTGTCCCGCAGGTTGAGTTCCTTTGTCAGTGTCAGCCATGTGGATGAGTCACAGCCATTGCTTGACCAATTTGCTCTCTGTGAAAGCCTGAGAGAATGTTTTCTCTCTCTGTGATTCTCCTTAGGTAAAGTATATCCTTCTTTATGGCTTGGTAGCACTCCATTGTATAAAAAAATCTCTTTTATCTCCATTCATCAGTTCATGGGAATTTGGGTTGTTTCCAAGATTTAGCTATTACAAACTGTGCTGTTAGAAACATGGGTGTACATATGTTGCTGTGACATGATATATACACATATATATGCATATATATAATTATGTATATATATCTTAATTCCCACACTAATGTTATTTTGTTTTGTAGAGTGCAAATTCATTTATATTTTCCCATGTTTTTTTAAATTTTCTTTTCTCCTTACATTTCTGTATTTCCAATGGGATCAGTTTTTTCTTTTTCCATTAAGGCAGGCCTGATGGCAACAAATGTTCTGTTTCTATTTGTTTGAAAATGTCCATATCACCCTTATTTTTGAGGAATAATTCTGGTGTGTATATATTTCTAGATTGGAGGTGATTCTAACACTATCCATGGCTTCCATCATCTCTGTGCAGTCAGATGTAGGCTTAGTGTTGTTACTTTCAGAACTTTTAAATTTGTTTTTTCATTGTTGATTTTGGCATTAGCTTTCAGTTGCGTTCTTGGTATCAGATGCTGAATTTGTAATATCTGTTTTTCACTCCTAGGATTTCTGTTTTATTCTTTGAAAAAATAGATTACAGTTCTCAGTTTAAATTGTTCATCTTTTCCTTTATTTTCATCACTTT